GACCGTCGAGCGATCTGATGAAATTCATGAAGGTGGTGGAAGCAATTTGAGGAACCTAATATTTGTCTTAATGTGTTCATACCAATTTTTGTTAGACTCTCCTTTAAATGATGTAGAAGAATTATCTACTGTAAAAAAATTGTCTACAACATTTTCCAAAATCCAGTACAATGTTTCCATCCTGATTTCATTCCTTGGCATCTTGATACTCGTTCATGAATGAAAAAGACATTCACCAGTATATTATAATTGTGCTAGAAGGGTGTTTTTTTTTGCTTCTAAAAATATTCGGAGAATTATTTTATATTATATAAATACATTATACTTTTTAATTATTTATTTATCGATTGAATTTTCTGCAAAACAAAAAGGGGATAGCACAAGAAGCCCCTGTAATATTTAGAAGAAGGGGTGCTTAAGGGGTTGTGAATTGAGATTTCGAAGTGATAATCGTTTAATCGAAGTGATAATCGTTTCGTTTCTCTACCTATTGATTGTAGTAATATGTATTAAGTATGATTGAGTAAGAATATGAAGGTTTAGTATGTTTATTAATGGGTTGAAGAATGACGGCACGACCAACACCTGAGGATGGTAGGCCATAAGAATACAAGCATGTCATGAACGTAATGGAGTAACAATATCAAAAGAATACAGAAAACACAATTAGTACTTATTTTTGACAGTTATACAGAAATGTTTCACTACATTATAGGAATTTAATTCTAGTGAAAGACTTAGAACCTTATGCCCCAGCAGATGTTAAAGTCTACGTTCACAGATCATATCCGTAGACTCTCTCACGAAAGTCTACGTTCTCTCACAGATCACCTTCGAGACCAACTCCATCAGAGGAGGTCGAATGCCTGGCCAGAGCCGAGGTTTAACCACCCTCAAATGTTGAGGTCATGCAGAAGCAAGTTTGCCTTGCCCAAACCATGCTTCCATCATCACCCATGGTTAACTTCACGGCTGCAGAAAAAAATGACGCTACAGCGTGATAGGCTATTGCTGCCACACTGGACATTCTAAACGAAATTCACAATATGTAATGGCACGATTCAAACATAAATAATTTCGTCGTTAACTGAATTTTATTCATTCAGAAATTACACGAGTGTTATTCGTGCACGAGAATTTACAAGGTTTAATGGCTGAATATTTTTATACTTATTTAATAGTGAAATTGATGTAATCCGAAATAAGTAGGAGATTTCAAGGTAATTACGTTCCATATCATTACAGAGATTGATGATCAACGAGTTTGAAGGTTTAATAAAATTAATTACGACATTCACAAGTAAAGACAGTGCGAGATATAATCGAGTCACTACAAATGTACAGTTGAGTATGCACACATGGGGCTGCTGGTGTTCATTTCATTATTTAATTACGCTTAATTTCAGTAAAAAATTTCTGAGTTGCAACAATGGCGTTACAAAATAATAACATAATTAACTTTGTTATCTAACTTTGTATTGGAACAAACGTTACTGAACCAATTAACAGGTTTACCTTCATATTTTACTATTTCAGTAAAGTTTCATTTCAGTACAATTTTATTTAATTGCAGCTATGAAATGTATAAGGGAATTCAAAAATAGTCTTCGCATCTAACTTCTATGGTTGGTACGCGTATTTACCAATAGCAACACGGAGTTGGAGCTAACGTTTCTAAACAATTAATTGGTCTATCCTCAAAATTCCTCAATTGAGAATATATATATATATATATGTTCTTTTTCTTAGGTTGTATGTGAAAATAATCGGAATAAAATCAGTTTAAAGAAAAAAATAGTGAAATAGTAAAGAAACTCATGTCATAATGATAAGTTTACCTCGTATTTTAATATAAACTAAAATTTCCAAAAGCTCTATCTTATCATATTCCTATAAAAACATCCACATCAAAGTAAAATGCATAGCAGAATTAATTGAGGTAGCCAATTAGATAGGTTACGGCGGTTTTTAAACTAAAATGCATGCAATTTTAGAGCAGAGGGCACTGAAAAATCAAGCTAGTTCGAGTGTTCGACGGATCATTCAAAGTTTTGTGTATATGTAATATAAGAAAATTTATCCGTGCCATTAAAATTTTATTGCGTTATTTTATTTCCAAAGTTGACTGCGAAATACTTTTAAAATATTCTACCAAAAACTAAAAACGCTCAACAAAATAGGCACGAGTCATCAGGCTGAAAATTAGATCAGTCTATGCTAGATGATAATCGGTAATACAGGAAATTTTTTGATGGATAACTTGAGAAAATACTCCTTTCGCAGTTGCTTCCGAATTATAATCATAGCATAGTGATGTCTGCGCTGAAGTGTAGGCCTGATGTGGCCTGTCGCCGATTCTTATTTGAGCTGTGATCTTTTCTCCTTCCTGAGAAAGAAAGAAATGTATTCCTTCCTGAGGAATAAAGATCGCAACCTTTCGTTCTTTCTACGTTCATTGAGCTGCCGAGAAAATGCGAGGTTTATTTACTATCTCATTCCCATTTATTCGTTCCATTAAAAGACCGTCCTTCTTCCGTTATTACTGTAGAGCGAAAAGTTTAATGCGGAATTTTGAAAACTTTTTTGAACATTCCAAGCAGGTTTCAACATGATCTTTTTATTTTTTATTTAAAGATTTTTTTCATTAATGTTGAGCAATTTCAAACTGAAAGCTCAACTATATGATTCCTAAGAAATTTTTAACAATAAGTAAAAATGGTAGTTCTCCACCAAATGAAAAATTTAACATTATAGAATATTTTTGTGTTTTTTTTTTAAGTTTTGCACAATGTCGTTTATTCAAGTATTTTTGTGGGGAACAGTCACTACTTCCTGATTTATTTCAAGTGAAGCTTTCACTAGACTGCTTCATCTCTTTTCCAAACCTGCTTCTTGTTCGCGCGTACATAGCCTATTTGTTTATTCATTTCAAAATACGATACACTTGTGTGTTTCATGAGTTTATGTTTCCTTGTTTATATCTAATTTATTTATTTTATCTCATTTGATTTCTTGAGGAGCGGTACGTACGTTACGTGGCCCACAAACCTTGTCATGTGAATAGTGCTGCCCCCTTGTGAGCAAGCGTCGAATTGAGGATCGTTCTCGACGTAACTTTTAAAATAGTTAGCCTTAAAAAACTTTTATATCTATATTGACTTTCATCTATACATTTCAAATTTTCTCACCATTTCATCCGTTTTTGAAATATACAATCAACATTTAATGTTTTTGAGATCATAAATAATTGGTTTCATATGTCCAAGCGATAAATACTCGAATCTTTTTTCAATACCCTGTAATGAAGCAATGATTGAGATGCCCATCAGGGAATCTCACCAACAGTTAATGAAAACAGAATATAATTTCAACTTTATAATTAACGGGAGCTCCTTCCGAGTAGAGCTCCCACAAAAACTAACGATAATGAATCAAGAGTGAAATAGATCAGTGCGTGCGCAATTATTATTGAGTGAAACACTTATTATTGCGTAGAAACAATAAACTAAAAATAAATAATGTAAGCTCAAATATGTAATTTAGGATTCTGAAAAATGTTGATTTTCGAAAAATTATATATATTTATTCATGTATGTGGTTAGTTCAACGATCGCTGATACTCGCCTAGCATTCCAGTATTCCCGATACCTGATATTTCCCTTGGGTGTCCTGTCTAGTTGTTGCTGCAGCTGCTGCTGGTGAAGGTCGCCATATAAAACGGCGGCAACCGTCGCGCTTGCATTGTTCCCAGTGCAAGCGCAGTGTTACGTCGTGGCCAAACATCGACCAGAGCCACGATGAAAATTTCAATCATGTAAGTACAAATTTATTTGATTCTTTTATATGATTACTGCACTTCACAGTGTCTTAACAGCTTTAAATTAAAAGCGCCCCAGCGATAGTTGAACAATGCGTATCGATGCGAGGTTACATAGCTCAACTGCGACAAGAGTTTTTCCAAAATGTAATTCATTTCTTTTTTGTTTTAAATTCATTTTCCCATCCGTATGGTACCAGTAAAATGTAGTTCAAGTTTTAATATTTCCAACAATATAAATATCTAACTATCTTCAAAAAATAGTGCAACTATTAGTGTGCACATGGGTTGTTTTATGATATTTTAGTTTGAAATTTGTCATATCATGAAACGGTGATTCTGAATTTTTTATTATTTTGTAATCCCTAGATTTTTTAGCAGAATGATTTCCCATATATTTCTTTCAAATTTATTTTCCATATACTTAGGACAAAAATCAAGGAATAAAAATTCACAATATTTTGTCGATAATTTTCTAGATGCGTAATTTGAATTGAGTCATCAGGATCAAATTTATCTTACATGGTATCTTTTCATTTTATCCATCGCACTCAAATCTTATTACCGCGTTAAAAAATAATTTCTATTTTATCTGCAATTTATGGTCGTATTTTTTTAATTCGCGACAATACGCATTATTTCCTGAATAATATGTACTGATGATCAATATTCTGAGCGCTTCACTGAGCTCCGAGTAAAAACAGTTGTGAACCACCAAGAAGTTTTTATCCATTGAAGGAAGCAATTAGGGATATCGCTGATCATCGCTCCGTCGTACAGGGAACAGGAGTTTCCCATCCACGATCCGTATGGGCACTTAATTTCCCGTTAAAGCTGCAACGATCGTTGCATTTGATGCGTGAAAATGCCAGGCGATCAATAATTGGGAAAAATTATTTTTATTTACGATATTGTTCAATAATCATTAGATCTGTTGCCCGAATTATGGGAAAGTATTTGAATATATACAGTGTATTCCCTGTAATATACAGGGAAAGTATATTACAGTTAATGACTATGGCAATTGTGTTTGGCAAATGTTTGTAAAATTGTTCCTGATTACATTTCATACCTGTTGAATTTATCCTGCAATTCTACATCATTTTACTTTGGGTATGACTAGAGTCATACAAATTCATACTAGAGGTATGAAGTGAGTCATACAAATGGTATGACGACATATAAGGGTTCTCTACGTGGAAAACCCACTCGTCTATTCACGTGTTCATGATCTTAATCTTGCGTCGCGTTAGTATTTCCTACCGCAGTATTTCCTACAGCAGTATTTCCTACAGCAGTATTTCCTACCGCAGTATTTCCTACAGCAGTATTTCCTACCGCAGTATATTTCCTACCGCAGTATTTCCTACCGCAGTATTTCCTACCGCAGTATTTCCTACCGCTGTTTTAGTTTTGATTATCGTGCTTTTAAAGTAAGACAGTCTTAATGCGACATGATCACCTAAACAAATAATGTAAGAAAAATTCATATTTTACCTAGAATTAGTTTAGGTTTATACTTCAATAAAATGCTAAATTCCATCCAAACAATCCTAATCTTTGGACAGGACTGACCCCAAATTTTGTTAAGAACTAATCAACTCACGGTTTACTTTATTGGTTGCAATATGCACAGTTTGTACTGTTTAGGCAACTTTCCTAAATGTTTCTTCAAATACTCGATCTAAAAATGAAAAAGTATATTTGTAAATTGCCTACTTCTTGATTTTGATAGTCGCTAGTAACGGTAGATAGTCGCAAGTAACGATTGTGAAATCAGGCTTTCATTTCGGAAAACTCTCCGCAAACGCCAACCTTGGCATTTCCAGTCCAAGTCATTCCAGCCTAATCCGACTTCCTTTTAGTTCCAAACCGGACAAAATCATTGAATGGTACACATTTTCCATCAATTGAAGCATCAAAATGAGTTGCCAAAACATGGTTGAAATTGCATGACTCTAAATTTTACACAGATGGACTTAATGGCTGGTATATAATGGCTGGCATATAATGGCTGGTATTAACATTTACAGCAATGTATCAACCGAAATAGAGCATATGTATGAAAATAAACCTTTTGGCTTTGATTCTTTTCTCAAATTTTCACGAACTTTATGAAGCCTCCTCGTATGCAGTGGTAGAAAATAAATTCAAACTTGTCCATCAAAGCATTGACAAATTCTAGTTGCACTAATTGTGAAGATATTTTTATAATTTTCATTTAAATTTTGCATACCGATAAACGCTCAAAGCCGCTTCAAAGAGCAGTATTACTGTCTCAGTATGAATGACAATTGCCAATAACTCAATAAAAGCAATGCTAGTGAATCCATGAGGCTCCACTTCGAAAAGTGAGTTTGACCTGGACACAGAGCTCTGTGACCTGGACACAGAGCTGCAGCCCTAAAAGCAAAATTAAAGCCCTATAAGACCGAAAATTAAGTAAAAGCCTTTGACCAGCATTGACAGAGCAGTCTAAGGCGGCCGGCCTGGATCATGCCTGCAGTTCCACATCCCTAATATTGTCCGTAACTCCATGCAGTCTGGAGTGGTGATGCTATGTATGACCTTGCATTCCAAGCCATCCTGCTGGCGACTCCCCGGACGATATTTATTTGGAATATAAAATAACCGTGAAAAATTTTTCAGAAATTTGTACTGGAAAGTTTAATTTCTATCTAAATTTATTTGCTCGTCCGACTCGAAACTTTATAAATTTAATTTAAGTACTCGCTTTTTCAATACGAAAGGAGGTTAAATGTCTAAAAAATATTACCTTAGCATTTTGTTGGTTACCTATTTTCCGATCTTGATCGTTACCAAATCTTCGATCGTGCTTTGCAAAACCTCTGCTGACACTTTTTAGCATGTACCCTTTTGTGTACTAGATTTTATTACGATGAAAACTTAGTACATAACAAAAAACAGTTTCTTTACCTGATATCAGCTGAAACCGGTTCATGTAATGGTCCGCTTAAAGTGACCACATTGTTTTCTCATCATTCTTGTTGGATAATTTAGAGCAACTTGAGAGGGCTATAGCGTCACATTCAGAAAGAACTACGTTACGGAATGATCTTTTGATGTTTTTAAGGCAAATGAATTGCTGCAGCCGACGTGGATACCGCATCGCGTTGGGTTACACCCACAAGGTCTTGGCTTGCGTCACGGTTGTCGCGCACTGCAACGATACCCACTTCAGTCCAGTGCGGCGTCTTACGTTGTTGTGCTGAGTGAGAGAGGGAGAAACATGGGCAATGAGACGAACAAACCAGTATTTCAACATGTACAAAGGAAACCTCGAGGGAAAAATATTTTGACTGTCTTGTCTCGTCTGCGAAAGACGTAATGATTTTTCTTCGAATTTAAGGTTTGCACTTGTCGAATTTGAGGTAAAAGCAACATAAATTAATGTTTATAACTTTTCCTCAACATTTGTTTTGCAACTGCTGGAATATATTTTGAGTATTTGCAGTATAAAATACTGAATAATCCATCATACATCCTCGGAGTATCATTCCACTCGTCTCATAAAATATTCATTCGTTTTCAAATGATTGGGCGACATTTGTTACTTCCGAAAACATGTGGATTTTTTTCCATAATATTTACATAATATTTGTACCATCATTCTCTACAAAAAAGTCTATTGCAATAACAATATAAAGTATTATTTAGTCGAAAATTTGTATACAGAAAAGGCATCAAAATTAAAACTGAACCTTAACAGTGGATGTTATGTTTAAGCGATCTACGTACGACAGTGTTCCATGCAAAATTAAACTACGAAGTGAAATGCCAGTTCGACATCTTCCGGTTTGAAGGCTCAATTGATGTTTTTGTTATTATTGAAAGCTCACTATCAATGGATGATTACATACTTTTCTGCATTTAACGTATTCAACATATGATAAAGATCTTTTGGACGTACATATTACCTAGATTACATACATAAATATATTTTAAGGCTTTTAATTCATAGATTGTAAGCAGTTGCTCATGCCATTTTGATCAAAAAATAATCCAAGATTGTCATTGCTATTGTCATAAAGCTACACCATCCCGTGACAAGTTGTGTACTATACATTTGAATACTAAGTACTCATACGAGTATAAGGTATGGGTACGTCATCGAAAGACTGGATGCTCTTTAGGAGATATGGGTACTTTACAACTCGCCCAAGGACACCCGCTGCTCGGTCTTCTATAATGTCAAAAAACGTTCGACTGTGGCTCGTCGCACCGCGGTGTGTGGGCGAAGGTAAAGCGGGGACAGATTTAATCAAGAAACTTTTATTATTGATGATTACCCGTGAATAATATGTCGTTAATATCAATATTAATAAGATTGTTGCTCTTATTATTATTTTATTGTTGGTATGGTTATTATTATTATTATTATTATTATTATTATTATTATTATTATTATTATTATTATTATTATTATTATTATTATTATCATTATTTGGAACTTTATCATTACTGGAGCTTCGGAGCTCAGTGTTACTTTATAGAATAGAATAGAATAGAATAGAAGGGTCGGCACTGAAGAAATGGGCCCATGGCCTTTTGCCGATTCTTGTCTTTTCGTGACTTGATTCACAAGGGATCCGGCCTTTGGGACCCGATCTTTCCATAACTGGCGATTAAATGAGATAGTTGCTGGACTTATTGTCTGGTCCGTAAGGTGCTAGGCATTTTAAGGCTGAACATATGCCCCTCCATAGCTTCGTTTAGTCTGTTCTTGAAGGCGTTCATACTCGGAAATTATGTTTGATGTTTGTTTATGATGAGGTATCATGGGATACGAGTACACTGCGCAGCCGCTGTTCTGTGAAAGGCTTGTCCTGAATTCCAGAGTTGTAACTGGAAGCTACTGCTCCCGTACATTGGAGTCGTAGTAAAACTGTTGTTGATAATGAATCTTGTTCATGTCAAGTTTGAAGATCATGATATCATGTACATAGGTTTACAATGAGGTAATTTCTCGCTGTTCA